GTATTGCAAAGTTTCTTCAAAGCCGCCCTGCAGAAGTCTTGTGAATACATGGTCAAGTTTAGTTTCAAAGCACAAGTGCAAAGACTGCAGGAGTGCGGCTACACTTATTCATTATTCTTTCGTGTAGCAGAATGCCTGATAACTCCCAAAGGATGGGGAAACCGAAATTATGAGAAGAAAAGCCGGCCAGCCCTGTGATACCTTACATATACAACATATCTCACAAGTTTAGACGAATAGCCTCAAAATACGACGTACCCGTTGCATTATCAGCACCGAACAAATTTAAACAATTGTGTCCCAAGATCAATTTGCTAAATGAAAATGCACCTTCAAACATAAACATAAGTACGTCGTCTGCAACGTAAACGTAGTGTATGTAATTCTGTTCTTGTGTGGAAAAGTGTGCGTTGGACAATCTGTCCGCAGAGTAAAAATTAGACTTCGAGAACATACACCTTTCTCTTAAATCATCACCATCTCTTAAATCATCGCTATCACCCTACACGTCCGAGACCGCCGCTGCACACCTATATTCCAACAGACTAAAATCCTCAAGCGCTAAAATAACAAGAGATCCAGCGAACTCTTGAGGCAAAAACCATGTTGTCTCAAAAGGGGAAGCTTGCATGAGCACACTATCAATAGCCTTGTCTGAGAAAGGGATGGGTTACTTCGACATTTTTTCTTAACCCGTGTCGCTTTAATGTTTTCTAACTTCATCTTTGGCCTGGGTTGTTTTTATTTTTAATTCTGCATTTATTTATTTTTTCTATCCCGCTCTCTCTGTCTCTTTCTCTTTTTTCTTTGCTAGTGTAAAGGTGTGAAGTTACATTCAATTACCAATTTCTTTACTGCATCTATAATTAATAACCAATGATATTCCTCCTCTTTCTACCTTCTCATGTGTTATTTATTTTTGTCTTCCCCTTTGCATGCATTGAACACTCATTTTCAGTAAGCGCTTTGTGCTGCCCCTCTTCTTTGCCTCGGTGCTGGCGCGTTTGATTTTTAACAAAGCGAATAATTCTAGGTCGTGCTTTAATTGTGCGTTATGAACCTGACCACCTTGCACGCGGTTGCTATGGAGACGGCATGTAAACTATATAAATGCTGAAAGAGCTACATATTTATTGATGCGATAGCATTCTGTAGCTATGCCATTTTGAATTAACCTGAGACCCCCAGTCTCAGGTTAATTCAACATGGTTAATATTTACCAGCTCGCCTGCACCCTTACGATTTTTTTTATTCTGTAGCTACTTCATCCTGTTTTCGCGATACGCTCTCTGGCTTCCAATGCGTCGTGCGTATGCGCGGAGTACGTATGCGCCGCGCGACGGCGCGGCGCCTTTGTATACAGAGGACGTCCGTAAACGCAGGCTCCACGCGCATGGGGACAACGTCCTAGATGGCGTCTTTGAGGTCGCACTAGAGGTCGTCCCTCAGATAGTCCTAGTGATCATCCTAGATATCGTCTTTGACGTAGTCCTCTCGAACGCCGTCCTGGGCGTCGTCATAGCACGCAGATAAAAGAACAGTGTCTATTTCGGCTAGTTGGTTAGTCATTTCATAAAACTTGTGCGTACGCAGCAAAGGCGAGGACGGAGGGAGGACAGGACACAAACGAGGTGGCTCATCTGTTTAATCCTGTCCTTCTCGTCTTTGCTGAGCACGCCCAAGTTTCATAAAAAGCATATAAAGTCGCGCCGCAAATACACGGAGCGGCAGTACGCACACACTCAAATGTGCGTCCAAGCTACGAAGCAATTATTGGCTTAAGCTCAGCTAGTTAGTGTGTGGTACACGATGAAGGCGAAGCAGCTTGAACATTAGGCGATTACAAAGATACTCGAAAAAAACACACACATCAAGCTGAAATTATGGTGGGCAAACTGCTTGAGCATTAAACGATTACACAGACAGAGGGTCAAACGATCACAGATCACATACAAACGAAGCAGCTACTCAATTTCCCAGTGGCTCGCCGCTGTAACGCTAACGTCAAATCTTGCGTTGTGAACCATTCATAAAATAAATAAACTGTCGACTCAAAACTTGCGTCGTCGTATTCACAGTCCGCGGCGTCGTAAGTATGACGAGAAATGCTATCGCAATTCGTAGAAAACCATCAGTAGTGGATTCTGCGACCAATTTTTTTTTGTTTTTGGTGTTTTAGTACTCTTGCCAGCTTTTAATACAGTGCCGGGAATGCGCCTCCAACTGGTGTGTTTAGCGTCTCATTCTTTTATGCATCAAAAGTTGGTCCCAAAGTGCCAACAAATGAGATCACAAAACACGGAGTGTTACGCTGTCGGACGTTGCGAATCCGGTGGTTAAGCGTAGAAGTCCTGAAAAAAAGCACGAGAAAACGGGAATGTCGTGGACGTCGCGGATTTTAATCTCCTGTGAGCGGACGCTTCCGTGGACTTTCGAGGTGGAGAGCGACCTGCAGCAAACTAGGTGTCTACCACACCTTCCACCGCTGCTGGGACACAGCTAGGATCTCGGCTTGCGAGAGCATGACACTTTTAGGATGTCATCACGCCGAAATCGAGGAACCTCTTTTTAGAACGCAGCTCTTGGGCGCCCGTTTCCGGCTTGAGTGGCGTCGGCGCCGCCGTCGCCGTCGGCGTAACCACGCGGTGCATTATGGGACGCATGACGTCACTGATGACGTCATCAGTGACGTCATTGATGACGTCATCGACATCCGCATCGTCATCGTCACTGATGACGTCATCAGTGACGTCCACAGTGGCGTTACAGGGTGTTGTAAACGGCTTTCATTTCAAACACGGCAGTCGGAAACACGTTTCACGCATCGTTTCCTTGGTGGTGTTCGGAAGTAATTTAAGTACCTGGTTTGAAAAAATACTACTTTGCTTAAAGGACATCATGTCCCAAACACAAAATCTACACACGTTTACTCACCAAAAACACCAAAAATAAACTATGCATCGCCGAACGCTCCTTCTCTGTCCAAATGTAGCCCTGGAGGTCCGAACCACACGCCAAAGTTCAAAAACTAACCGTTATCTCGCTCAAAAGTTCTAAAAAAAATTCCCAAATTTTCAATAGAAAAATGGAGCCCATTTTTGTCTGTTTTTAGTAACTGGCGCCATAAAGCTCCATCTATCCGAGTGCTCTGTTGACCGCCATTTTCCTAATGAAATTTTCAGAAAATCGCTTGTAACATTTGAATAAGATAATGGTTAGTGCTGAAATTTCTGCATTTAGTTCCGACGTCTATTGCTACATTCGGATAGAAGATGGGCGTTCGGCGATGCGTAGTTTATTTTTGCAGTGAAAAACCACGTGAATTTATCGGGGAACACCCACTACATTCTTTAAGTAGGGAGCATTTTTTTTTTCTGATACTTTCCGAGGAAAGTACGACTCCTGACTTCAAGCTACAATTACAAACTTCACAAAATAATAACAATGATAAATCCTGAAGAGGAGGAACATAGGGGACAAAGGACAAACACAAATCTCCAAACAGAGCTCAGTTGTTACTCTTGTCCAGCTCGCTTGCACATTTACACTAATTTCATTATCATCCCAAAATCATGTTTTGTTAACTCTGGAGAAATACTGGGACTTCTATTCTCACTGGCACTACCGAAAATTGTACTCTCACCAGAAACTTGAGGAAACGACGCATCGTTCGGTTTCACTTTTCCCCAGCATTCCTAACTCTCACAACTTCTCGCGCCGTCAGGGCAAGCGAGGAGGTTACAAATATTAGGCGAGGACTCCTCCCAGAGAGGATTACTGCTGAAACTACAGGGAGACGTCACGCTCTCTCCTTGTATGTTTACCTCCCTTGGATGCAAGACAGTTCAAGTGGAACTAAATCTAAAAAAAGAAAAGAAAAACTGAGACACTCCTCAGTTTGCCGGACATTTCCGAAAATAACTACTCTGTGAACGCATCAATATATCTAATAATCACCGCCATTCCCAAAATCAACTGATGCATCCCCGATTACCCTCGGGCAATGATATACTATAAAAAACTGTGTAAAGAAAAATCAGAAGTCATCATGAAAGATTTAAGTAAAAGGTACTTGTACTTTATACTTTGAAAGTATAATTGCATTTATTGCATTGCATTTATAGTACTTCAATTTAAGCACATTACGCCCTTCGTGCTTACTCTTTTTACTTGAAGAACATAACCTCTCCTTTACTTTCTATATTGCTCCAAGTCCTTTTAGACGTAATTGACCAAGCTGATTTTTAGCGCATATTTACAGACGAAGAGAGACGCTTGTATTGGACCGCGGCTCGCACTAGATGGAACGCTAGTACGCCGCTGTAATGTTTGCGTCCTGCGGGTGCGTCAGGCGATGGTAGCCGCGATGGAATAGCAGACAATCTCGAAAGCTATCCCACGTTTTGTTCCGCGACTATTAGATCGTGTCAGGTGACAGGCTACACACACCGTAGGTCGCCACAGGGACCTTAGGCAGCCATACGTCTTTGGCTGAGGAGACAAGTCAATCCACAAGTAATGAGCGCGGGCCGCTGAGCTGTGGGTGAGGCTCAGAGAGGGCCTTGACCTCCATTTAAATTGCGTCTCGCGGCATTAATATTAGGCTAACTCTTTTTCTCAAACTTTATTAAGATATCTGGGCGCTTTATTTTAACGAGAAGCATTCTTTAGCTACCTGTATCGCGATGCATCTGGCCTCGTAACAAAAGAAGGAGCTACAACCGTGCCGCGCATATGCGGAGCTGTATTAAGCGCTACTTCGCATTCTCACCCAGGCTATGAAGCAATCACTCAAAAATGATTTCGAAGTGGTGCACTGCAGTCGCAGTGACGTGAATGACTGCGTCTTAAACCGTTTATAAATCCCGATCTTGAGGCACACGTCGTGTCAGATGAGAAGGGCCCTCGCAAGCGACCACCAGCCACAGAAGAGGAGCACCTCGATATGTAATGGCGTCATACACCCGCCGAGCGTCGCCAATAGGCAACAAAGGCGGACGATGGGAAGGCAGTGCCAACAAGACAACATTGATGTGGCCCCAACCACGCGTTTACTGGGGATGTCGAAGTATAAACATCACTTTGCACAGACCGTCAGTCTCGATACTAGCAATTAATCATGAAACAACATCGCCAGGAGAGAATGGATCAATCAAGTGCACATTTTGCGTCGTTGTATTCATAGTGAACTGCGTCGTGAGTTCCGATGTGGTTCGTGACATTATAGCAAAATCTGGCATCTCCTTGTAGGTGACATTGTTAGCCTTCATACACAACGCTTCGCATATCCTAGACAACCAGCGTAATATTATCTGCGACATTTTTTTATTTTTTTTTATTTCAGCGTTTTTTTAAGGGTGCCTCGCATTTGACAGCAAAAATACCATTGGCAATAATAGTAGGCAGCCTCAGAATTATGAAAAATCCCATCAAAGCTACAACTGTTTTTTTTTTGTTTTTTTTTTTTTTTGCAATCTTATTTTGGTTTTGAGAAATTTGGGCATTTAGAAATCCTCGCCGATTTTACGTGTATTTACTTCGCTTTTTTAACACACAATGAACAAACTGAAGGTGGCGGCTGCTCTCTGGTCGCACAGGCATTGTTCCCGCTGTCTTTCCTTTTCAGAGATTTCACCCGAGGCGGTCCTAAAAGCCGAACTGATGGTGACAGACATCAAGAAAACGCTCAGGAGTCTATTAGAACGGGGCTCATGGTTGGACGACGAGGCTCAGAAGACAGCCCTTAGGAAGCTGCACAATACGGTCATCTTCACGGGCTACCCCAAAGCCGTAGCCAACGAGGCAAATATGAACGGATACTACGGTGAGTGATGATGGGAAACCCTACATAAGTAAACCATGATTTTGTGGCCTAAAGGTTATTGGGAAAGTTGTTGGCTCCCTGTTTTTTTTTTTTTTATATATATATAGTCGACAGTAATGCAAAGGTTCACACTTTGTGAAACGTCCGACCCACAGAGCACAGAAACAATCAGTCTAGACGAATAACGAGATACGAGCAGACCTCCGAGCACGACCAGACCGTAAAAATGCGCAGCGCGGCTGCCACAATAAGCAGATGAGACGTCATGCTGATTGTCCCTTTGCAGTGACATGTTCTCCAGGGTTTTCAAAAAAATAGTGTTTTGCTTTTCTTTCTTTTTTTCGCACAAATAAAATAGGCACTGCCGAACGGTCATGATTTACCAAAATGTTGCGTGAGCCGTCCTAACCAGAAGGTAAAGTTTCAGAACTCTCCGTTTTCATATTTCAAAAGTAGTAGGTGATTTTTTTACATTTTCAGTCAGAAAACGGCGGCCGACAGATTTCTCTAAAACATGGAGTCGAATGGAGCCAACGGCCGAAAATGGGCAAAAACGGACCCTATTTTTCTATTTATTTTTTTAATAAAATTTGTTATAATCTATTTAATGAGGTGACGATCAGCTCTGAAACTTTCGCAACTATTTCGGGCAACTATCGCACTACATCTGGGTGAAGAATGTGCGATCAGGTTTGCGTAATTTATTTTTGCGAAAAAAAAAAAAAAAAACTCTATATACTTTTTTTTAAGGGGGGGGGGGGGGGGAGGTATAGGCGCGTTGTAGTCTAGTCTTATTTTGAACTTGGTCATTCGCCGAGATTTTTCTCTTGTTTGTCATGATTCGTTTCTTGCAATAAAGTAAACTCACGTACATTTTTTGAGTTCATGCCATGGTACCAAAAAGATGCCGCCGAAATACGGCGTAAAACCTAAAATACGGCAACTTTGTTTACTTTCAACACGGCGAGACTTATGTCAAGTAAAAAGTATCAAATAGTTTTATTTATTTTTTTTAATTTTTCTGGAGGGGGTACATTTTTTTTAACAGGTTCAATTAAGCGTCTACCCTCTTTAAAAAAAACCTTGTGGTTTTAACCGAACTTAATTGTTCGAGACCGAGTACTTGCCGTTGGTCACGAAAACGAGGCTCTCTAAATGCTTCCGGATATAAGTGTAACAATTCTGGAAGGGACTTTCTATCGAGGCGTAGAGGGCCTAAGGTTTTAAAAAGGACCTTCGGCATTTTGACTATATCGGGTGTTACAGAACACAGGACAGAAGCTATGCGCATAGCAAGTCGTTTGCTTCTTACGCGGGAGTTACCGTGACGTCAGAAGGACGCCGAGCTTTTATTGGCTTTTATTCAAAAGATATGGGTAGTCTTTAATTCTAAATGCCTTGAGATGTACACACTATTTTTTTTTTCAATCAGCCAATAAGAGTTTGGCGTTTTGGCATCATTACAAACCCCGTGAGAATAGCAGACGAACTTGCGCTTCGCATAGACTGTCGGGAACGCGTCCTCGGCTGGCGCGTTTAGTGTCATATACCGTCCACGCATCGAAACTACTTACGAAACGGCAGGAAAGGGCGTCACAGCAAAAAGTACGAGCGAACGTGAGCGCCGCTGTCTACTCGGCGTTCTACCTCTTTGCTGCTAAAGCTTCCGTGAACTGTCAAGCTGAAGAGCAACACGCGGCAGAACAGCCGTCTGCCGAATCCCCTCCGCTGCTTGGACACCTCCAGCTTCACGGTAGGCAACAGCATAACGCTTCAATAACGTCATCGAGCGAAAATCTAAAGACGAAGTCAGACGACGGGCTAAACACACCAGCCGTGGACGCGTTGCAGGCACAGTACAGAAACTAACGTATCCGTCGCGTCGCTGTTGCTTGATTTTCCCGCCATGCTTCTACAGGGGCCTATTGGGACGTCAGGGAGACGTTCTTCAACGTATGGCTTCATGGCGCGTTCTGGCGCCAGCAGACACTGATACGCGTGCAAAAGGACGTGATGTTCGACGTGAGCGCGCCCAGCGTGTTGTACGCGGAAAAGGCCAGCTGGGCTGCTGTCGTGCCCGGTCTTCTTCAGGCGCCGATCTTCGTCAAGGACGGGCCGGATGCCTTCAACTATGGCAGCCTCGGCCAGGTAATGCCGTCCTCGCACTCATTGCGTTTCATTTAGAAGTAACGCGTTAAAACAAACGTTGTTACTCGTCACACGTCACTTTCTTCAGTAGCGTTTTGACCTACCCGGTAGTTGGTGTTGTTTTTTGAATACATAACGAGTAGTTTATTTTTGAACATGATGTTAAAATCCTGAGACTGGGAAGGAAACTTCAAAAGAAAAAGTGTACGAAGTCACAGAAATAAGAGGACAGACAAACGTCTCAAACTCGGCTAACAAATTTTATTTCGTCCACATTTTTTATAACCACCTCCCAAGGTCGCCACCAACGCATACCGATACGCTTCTCCCTTTCCTTATTTCTGTGAGTCTTACACTTTTTCCTTTCAAAATTCCTCCCCAGTCTCAGTTATTTCTGTCGCTATTTTAGGGTGTCATCAAAAAAATAACGTTATTTGCTACCCGTTGTGTGGTAGCGACTGGCCATGGGTGTGGCCACAGCGAACCAGGTGCGTGTGAAGATGATGTGCTCCCGCTTGCACGGGGCACAAGACTGAGAGCTGGACTCACACGAGAACAGGGTCTGGACTCGATCGAAGCAGGGACCAGTTATGCTGATGTAAATAAGAGGAATTATATAAAACATGGTGTCAGAATAGAGGAACAACGAACAGTCTTTACCTGCTGCACAGAAAGGTGAGCAATGGCTGAAGCCAGCCTCAAACCTTCTGCTTCGATGGCATCGTTTATGATTCAGCAACCTGAACCTTTCTGCTTTACGTCACCCAATGAGTGGCCCAAGTGGAAGAAACGCTTCGAACGGTTCCGAACCGCATCAGGACTTTGCACAAAGCCTGAGGAGCACCAAATTGACGCCTTCCTTTATATAATGGGAGATCAGTCAGAGGACGTTCTCAGCACTTTCCAGTTGTCCGCGGAGGATTCCAAGAATTTCGACGTCGTACTGCAAAGGTTTGACAGCTACTTCATCCCAAAGCGGAACATAATTTTCGAGCGGGCACGCTTCAACATGAGATCCCAACAAGACGGAGAGTCCATTGAAGAGTTCGCAACGACACTTCATACCCTTTCGAAGGACTGCGACTACGGCAATCTGCGAGAGCAACTGGTGAGGGATCGCTTCGTTGTCGGCATTCAAGACTCAAAACTCTCTGCAAAGCTACAGCTTAACGCCGAACTAACGCTTCAAACAGCGCTGGAAACATCCCGACAAGTAGAAAGCGTGCGCAAACAACAAGAGGAACTAAACCAGGATCGAAATTCAAACGTCCACAAGATTTCGTCATCGGACACAGAAAAAACTGCTTCTACGGCCCTCAGTACAAACAAACGCGAGGGTCCTGACGATAGAAGACAGAGTGAAAACACTCCATACCAGCAACGTCCGCTGACCATGCCATCAGACAACCGAACACGATGCAGGTGGTGTGGGAGAGACACGCATCCACGCACTTCTTGTCCAGCGCGGTCCAAAGTATGCACAAATTGCCACAAGAAAGGACACTTCTCCGAGGTATGCCTGTCAAAAAGAGTGGACTTCGTAGAAGCTCCAGGTCCCAACGTCGGTTTCCTTGGAATAGTGACATCTCCGCAAGTTAATAGTTGGGAGGTTGACGTGTTAATCCACTCCGAGCCAGTGAGATTTAAGATCGACACAGGCGCCGACGAAACGGTAATCCCACCAGCGGTGTTCAACAAGCTTGAACCACAGCCGCTACTGCAGAATCCACCTCGCCAACTTCGTGGACCAGACGGAAAGGCGCTAGCAATACAAGGTGTGGTACGCCTCGCAATGTCCTACAAGGACAGAGTGTCCGAGCAGAACATTTATGTTCTCCAAGACGTTACCATACCCCTTTTAGGAAAGCCGACTATCGAAGGGCTCCAACTACTTTCACCAATCAACAGGATCGAAACGACAGTAAACCCGAAAGTCGACTTTCCATCACTGTTCACAGGGTTGGGAACATTCCCTGGGGAATATCGCCTGCAGCTCCAGGAGAACGCGAAACCGTTTGCTCTAAGCTCGCCACGTCGTGTCCCGATCCCACTATACGAAAAGACGAAGCAAGAACTTCAACGTATGGAGGACATCGGCGTCATCTCCCCTGTCAGTGACCCAACCGAATGGTGCGCACCCATGGTGATAGTACCAAAGCGGACTGGAGCAGTGCGCATATGCGTTGACTTCACAGAATTAAATCGCTATGTCTTGAGAGAGTGGCATCCCATTCCGTCCGTCGAACATACTCTTGGCCTTCTTCAGGGTGCGAAAATCTTCTCGAAACTCAACGCTAACTCCGGGTTTTGGCAGATTCCCCTGAGCGACGAAAGCAAAAAATTCACCACGTTCATCACACCTTTCGGCAGATTTTGTTTCAACCGACTCCCATTCGGGATCTCATCTGCTCCAGAACATTTCCAAAAACAACTGTCAAGCATCCTTGAAGGACTCAGCGGTGTCGTATGCCTCATGGACGATGTTCTGATTTGGGGATCCTGCAAAGAAGAACACGACGAAAGACTCCGTAACGTCCTTGAAAAGATCTGCAGTGCAGGAATTACTCTCAACAAGGACAAATGCTTGTTTGGTGTACAGGAACTCACGTTTCTTGGTCACCGAATAGACAGCCTAGGAATTCGACCCGACATTTCAAAACTCAAGGCTGTTATGGATATGCCACCGCCTACATCAAGAACAGAGCTACAGAGGGTCCTCGGAATGGCGACCTATCTGGCTCGGTTCGTAGCCAACTTCGCCGAAATCCTGCAGCCACTAACTGCGATGCTCTCAAAGAAGCAAGAGTTCGTCTGGGGACCAGTCCAGCAAAACGCGTTTGACAGATGGAAAGCTGTCTTATCATCTGAACCAGTACTGGGCATCTACGATACCAACAAAGAAACGGTAGTGACCGCAGATGCCTCATCGTATGGACTTGGCGCCATTCTCCGTCAACGACGAGACGACGGGAGGTTCCAAGTCATCGCCTATGCCTCGAGACTGCTGACAGATACAGAAAAACGCTACGCGCAAATAGAGAAAGAGGGCCTCGCGTCAGTGTGGGCGTGCGAAAAGTTCAGCGACTACCTCGTCGGGAAAACATTCAAATTAGAGACTGACCACAAGCCTCTCGTGAGTCTATTTTCTTCTAAGTCTTTAAACGATCTCACTCCACGACTTCAGCGAATGCGCATGCGTATGATGAGATACACGTACGAGATAACATACGTTCCAGGAAAGCAGCTCATGGCCGCAGACACGCTCTCAAGAGCACCTCTTCCCCTAAAAGAGTCGTCTTAACTGGAAGAAGAGGTTGAAGCATTCGTCCAATTTGTAAGGTCAACCGTTCCGGCTGTCAGTTCCAGCCTCCAGTGGCTCATCGACAGCCAGGAAAAGGATCCGGTTTGTCAGCAAATAAGATACTATTGCAAGAATACATGGCCCTGCCGGCGTGACCTCAACAACGAAGTTAAGCCTTTCTACCCATTTCGCCATCAGTTCACCTTTGAAGACGACTTGCTTATGTTCACAGCAAGGATCCTTGTGCCAACATCTTGCAGATCGGAAATTTTGCGTCTTCTTCACGAGGGACACTTTGGCATCGAAAAGACCCAGGCGCGAGCTAAAGAGACGTTGTGGTGGCCAGGAATGATGAAACAAATTGAAGAAAAAGTTAAGAGCTGTCATCTTTGCATCGAAGGATCAACAAATAGAAAGATGCCACTTAAACCCACCGAACTCCCCGAGAGACCTTGGCAACGGATCGCAATGGATTTATTCTACCAGAAGGGGCAGTGGTGGTTGATCGTGACCGACTATTTCTCAAGATATCCAGAGATCGCCCGCCTGGAGAATACGGCCGCACAAGTCGTAGTGAACCATTGCAAGAGTATCTTTGCACGACACGGTATTCCAGAAGTTGTCGTCTCGGACAATGGCCCACAATTTTCACGAGTGCCAACCTCAGAATTCGCCACTTTTGCTAGAGAATACGGCTTCCAACATATAACCTCGAGCCCTCACTATCCACAAAGCAATGGACTTGCGGAAGCTGCAGTGAAAATAATAAAGAGCTCCATGAATAAGACAAGAGACCCGTATGAGACCCTGCTGTCTTATCGAACAACACCCCTGAAAAACGGGTACAGCCCAGCCGAGCTACTTATGGGACGCCGACTGCGGTCAAAGCTTCTCATCCCGAACAGACTGCTGAGGCCAACAGCTCCAAACCTAGAGCAGCTCGCGAAGTTTGAAACAAGCTACCGGCTCAAGCAACGGTCGGCTTACGACAAACACCATGGTGTCCGCCATCTGCCCGACATAGTCGATGGAACAGACGTATGGGTTGTCGATCTCCAAAGGAAGGGAACGGTGCAGTGCCCAACATCAGAGCCACGCTCATATCTCGTTGACACCGGCCAAAGCGTCGTGCGAAGAAATCGTACGCATCTCGTACCATACACCAATGGGACCACTCAGACCTTCACGAATTTCGCGGCTCCTGCCGATAGTGATGGGCAAGAAGTACCACAGGAGGGGTGCGAGGACGCATCACATCCTCACACAAGGACGGGACGCTGCATTAGACGTCCTTCTCGATACTTAGATGACTGATCATTCCCAAGGGGAGGGGGATGTGTGGTAGCGACTGGCCATGGGTGTGGCCAGAGCGAACCAGGTGCGTGTGAAGATGATGTGCTCCCGCTTGCACGGGGCACAAGACTGAGAGCTGGACTCGCACGAGAACAGGGTCTGGACTCGATCGAAGCAGGGACCAGTTATGCTGATGTAAATAAGAGGAATTACATAAAACACCCGTTACATTTTACTAGTACTGTTATTAGCTCCGAAACAAATTAGTTTGCATTTCGTAGACATGCTCCGAAAAGGGGATATGATATGTTGCTTTTTCAAGGGTAAAAGCGCTAAAAAAACAACGGACAAAGGAAAGTGACTAGCAACAAAAAGCGCTACTTGCAACTGAAGTTTACTGACGGAA